ATATCAGAAATATTAAGATATGTAGTAGAGATATATACATAGAAAGAAGTACTTGATCAGATCTCTGGCCCTTTTCCCAAAAATGAAAAAAAAAAGAGAGAAACTCTTATTACTTATGCATGTATGACATCTTTTTGAAGGCTGGAATAGGTCCTCAAAATAGCAAAGACATTTCCACAAAAAATAAACATCTGGAGCTGAAAGCATCCTGATTTTCTTAAAAGTCTGAAAACGGAAGATCACATCTACTGCTAAATTACCTTGAAAGTTCTCCAAGTGCTCCCCAGAGAAAGTCAAGCCAAACCAATTATACATGGCATGAATGAGGGGAATACATCAGACAGCAAATGTGTTTTGTTTTCAGCTTGGAACAAAACAATCCCTTTCGATACATTGGAATATTCTGAGCTAAGGGTGTTCTGTCAGAACAAACTCAAAGCAGCTTGATTCTTTTTTCTTCTGATTAAAACTCTCAAAACACACTTGTTTTGGACTCAGAATCTTGAAACAGCTCTGTGGTATCAAGGCTATGTTCACAGCATAAAAGGTAAGAGTATGGGCCCTTCTCTTCTATAAATCCTCTGGAGCTACCCATCAGTTTTGCTTCTTGCCTTGGTATGCAGCCTGACAGTTTTCACTGCACCACCTATTTTCTAGGGAGCTTCCTAGCACATAGTATGTACTGGTTTTCTGGCAAATCAAAAGAAAAGAGAAAGGGAAAAATGAAATAAATTATATAACACTATCTCTGATTCCTGTAATACTGAGACATGCAATCAATGAATTCAACTCCTCTTTCAATGAAATTTCATTTTAATGTATGCCGATTAGTGTACATTCAAAGTGACAATAAAGTTATTCTAAGTCTTCTGTCTATTCCAGTGTTGGTTAACCTTTTTGGCACCGAGTGCCAAAACTGAAGTGTGCGCATGCATGCACGTGCTGGAGCGCTGGAATCCAGAAGAGAGCAGCAGGCCAGTGCCCATGCGCGAGGTGGCCAGCTGCCCTTACGGGTTCCATCATGCACATGCATGCCAGACAGCTGGTCCAGTGTGCATGCATACTAGCCAGGTGCTCTCTTCAGGGTCCTAGCTTGTGCATGCGCGCCGGCCAGCTGGTCTTCACATCAAGACCAGCTGGCTGGCATTCATGTGCATGCCAGAACCCAGAAGAGTGCATTCGGATGGTGTGCATGCACACGACAGAACCCAGAAGAGCAGCTGGCGAAGGCGCACATGCCCACATAGAGGGCTCTGTGTTCCAACTCTGGCATGTGTGTCATAGGTTTGCCATCACGGGTCTGTCCTATCCAAGAAGCTTTTTCAGTTCTAACTGACTGGTTGGGAATGGAAGGATTTATACTGTTTATAGTTCAAAGAATCTAAATCCTTCCATTCCACACCAGTCAGTTAGAAGTGAAGAAGTTTCTTGGATGAGAAGCTAAACATTTTCAAAGAAAAAAAACCCAAGAAAGTCCAGTTGTCTTTTGGAACTGGGTCACCTCCTTAATTGCTTGGAGGAAAATCAATCTCACAAGAGATGAATGGAATCAAACTTTATTTAAAAAAAGAAATGTAAACATTCCTTTCCAATTTTAAGTAGTTATATATAAAATAGTATAGTGGAGGGGAAAAAGGGGATGATTAAATTAAGAGAGCATCTTAGAAGAATCCTTAATACAATACAAATATATATATATATGTGTATAGTTAATATTTTGGGTTTCTTCCCATGTAATTGTGGATATATCCCTAAAAGGGTAGATATATCCACAATTACACGGGAAGAAACCCAAAATATTAACTATACACACATATATACCCGTGAAAACTTACACAGATATATATATATATATATATATATATATATATATTATGTATGTATGTATGTATGTATGTATGTATGTATGTATGTATGTATGAGATAAGGGTCTAAACAAGATGTTTCAGGCATCACTGTTATAAAAAGATTTCCAGTTTCATAAAATTTATTGTATAGAGGCGGTAATCACCAAATGAAAAATTAGACTTAAACAAATTGAAACAGTAAATAAATGTGGTAGCTTTTTAGCTTTTTTCTGTTTTTCTAGAATACATGTTCTTAGCATTTTGTGTTCATGCACCCTTCTGTGACACCCCCTCCCCCATAATTAGCTGGGAAAAAGGTACTTTACCGTGTTACCTATTTATTAAGCTAATAAAAAGTTTCTCAAAACTGCACTACTTACATTCTTGGGGTAAGAAGCTTTCAAGTTAAGGGGTGAGGAGAAATTCAAAGGTAGCCAGAGCAGTACAATTCTCAAGAGACTCCAGTACCACCCAGCATGCTGTCTTAACCAACCTTTAAGCTACAATGAGCCACTCATTATAACAGTTAAAGTTGAGAGTTTTCATCTAATCCCTTATTGTGTTGCTATAAATGTACCTTATTTAACAAATACTTTATGAGTAATTATATTCTTCATGGGTTTTCAATCCCAGTGAACAGGTTGTAATGATAAACTAGTATTTATTCAGTAGAATGTATAATTTTCACATTAAACTCAAATTAGATGCATATTTAAAGTTTTAATTTTAGGCAACAGCTGATGCCTGGTGAAAAACTGAGGGTGGGGAGAAGAATACAAAAAACTTCATTGCACATGCCATATTTTTGGTCTTTATGAAATTTTTAATTATAAAGGAAATTTGCATGAGAACAGGAACATTGTTAATACTTCATTTCCCACCTGAATTGGTAATGGCAGATAAATCACTATGTAACACAGATTGTACGAAAAGCAAGACAAATAGCTAATGTTAAAATAACTAATTTTGATTAGCTATTATTAGTATTGAATATTAGTTTTAGTATTAGTTCTGAATGAAGGTGGCATATAAAATAGCAGGGAGATGGGGTGGCACATGATCCCTGCTTCTCACCTATAGGAAACTTTGCTCTTCTAAACTTTGGAAAAATAACTGACATTTGTTGGGTTCTTTCAGATGGGAGAAAGAAAGTTCATCAAGTGATCGTAAGGTATCATAATTTTGTCCCCTAAATGATCTTGGATATTGTACAATATAACCCTGGATGATAGTTAGCAAATTGAACTAATTTCTGAAAACAGACACATGGTAAAGGTTCCTCTCGCACATATGTGCTAGTCGTTCCCAACCCTAGGGGGCAGTGCTCATCTCTGTTTCAAAGCCGAAGAGCCAGCGCTGTACAAAGACATCTCCATGGTCATGTGACCGGCATGACTAAACGCCAAAGGTGCACGGAATGCTGTTACCTTCCCACCAAAGGTGGTCCCTATTTTTCTACTTGTATTTTTTACATGCTTTCAAACTGCAGGGTTGGCAGAACTGGGACAAGTAATGGGAGCTCCTCCCCATTACGAAGCACTAGGGATTCGAACCGCTGAACTGCCGACCTTTCGATCGACAAGCTCAGCATCTTAGCCACTGAGCCACCGCGTCCCATATAAAGTACATTAAAACAGTCCAATTTAAAAATTGCCATTATTATCATTGCTCAGTAGGTAGGGTACAAATTTTATAAATCAATAAAGTCTAAGGACTATTATAGAAATTGGAAATATATCCTTGTGGCAAGTGTAATTGCAACAAAACCACTTGAAAAACTTTTGTTAATGTCTAGGATGTCAATATGTCAGAACGTGAAATTTTAGGAATAAGAAATCTTCTGAACTTTCCCTAACTTGAAAGATTTCACTGTTCTGATTTGAAATGTTGACTTCTCAGCTGTGCATTACTTTATCAGAAATAAGCAAAATTAAATTTTACTTATTTACAGTTCACCAAATAGACACCCCACGTATCTTAGAAATACCAAATTAGAATAATTTAAAGTCTTTAGGTTTCTTTGATCAAAGTCAGTATTCTAAGCTGTATCCAAAAAATAATAGAACACAGTAGTACATGATACTGGAAAGTAAAATATCTTAAGAGTTCTTAAAAGATGTCAGTTTTCTCATGGAATCATGCAGTGAGATAACTAAAATCTTGCAATACTTTGGTCTGGAGAGAGAGAATTTCCCTGAAGATGGGTTCCACAAGCTTGGAGGAATAGATCTCTGGTCCTGGTGGCCGACCTGATTAGAACCTGCAAAGTTATCCTGGACATATATGTTTGCCTTCATTCGTGATAATTTATGGTTTCAAATCATGGTTTCAAACCATGTACTGGTAAGAGGCTGAAATACATTTGATGGATTGCTGTAAGTGCCGAAATGTATAAATGTTTATTGAAATTTGAAATAGAATAAATAAATTACCTAATTTGAGGTACCTTGGATCGAAAATTGTTGTCCATGATGCACCTAGTTAAAGGTCATGGCAACAAGAACTTTAGTTGTATAGCAGTAGTAGTATAGGCAGATTGAAGGTATAAGTACAAGATGGAGTAAGTATCTAAGACACAGGTTTTACAGGATTAGGAAATTTTAAAACATCTGGGTTTTTAGGGAAGCACCTTAATTTTGGCATTTTGGTTCATACCTCCCAGTTCTTTGCTGTCAAAAGCTACTGTAAAGTCCTCTGGGGACATTCAATCCCTCTTTGGCACTCTCGTGCAACCAGCTATTCTCTCTGTAACCTTGGCTTGGTCTTGGATTGTTTGTATTTCCTTGGTTTAATAAACAGATCTTGATTACTTACCTAGCTTTAACTTGCTTCCTTTGGGCCATTGCTTCAGTCTCTTTCAACTCTTACGTTATTTATTGTTGCTATAAACTATGTATAAGACAATTCTAAATTATAGGCTTTTAACCTGAAGCAGTTTTGGCTATCATTCAAAGAAAGATGTTTTATTTTGATCTAAACAAGTACTTCCTGGGCATGGTGATGTATTCAGTTAGTAATATTTTCACTAAATAAAGAAAAATTATATAGTTCTTTATAGCCTGCCTTTCTTCCCACTTAGAATGATGGTAAGCTGCAACAGTTTAACAGTCTCTTAGCAGAATTTTTATGAGAGCATTATTCCATACTTCTTACCTTTAAAGAAAACAAAGTTTCCATCACTGTTTTCATAAACTGCATCAATGCTTGGAGGCAGTCCCCTCCAGAAGTAGGTAATCTGCATGGGGTATCCATCCATCACCCTGTTATTTCTGACTCGCCAAAACCACTGATCCTAGAAATAAGCAAATGCACCTCTGATGATATTTGGAGACATCTGTAATGATCACAATAGTTATTGAGATACAAACTTTCATTAGCATTAAGTTTGGACAACAATTTTGAATGTTTCTCTTATTAGCCTTGGCAACCCCCCTCCCCCCCGGTACAAACTGGAATAATATTTCCTATCCAAGTTAGAAAGGTAGACTATTTTCTTTATCTCCTCCTGTTTCCATGACTTCACACTTAATCAGGGTGAATGTCTATAAACTTCTTGCTAACTTGGATTATGGGCCAATTGTAATTTGCATTAATTATGATCAGAGCAAATGGAAATACACTGTGGGATTCATTCTGAAGTTGAAGCAAGTTGCCTCTTTGTACAATTTTGCTAACCTGTATGACTAAACTTATTGATCCATCCCTTTTAATGTTGTGAGTTTTTTGTATGTTGTTCTTTAACGTTTTTATGAATACTTATTGTACCTTTGTAATCTGATCACAGGTTTTTAGGAAGTAAGTGCTATTTCTCTTTTTCCAGTTGTAACAAATCATTGGGAAACACATATTTTTATAGAAAAAAAATGGATAAATCTATAGTGTTATTTCTTATCTTAGTCCTGGTTTTAGTTATATAGAAAACTATATTTCCATCTGAACCTCAGCTAAACCTAGATTTAAATACTTTTAGAAAAACAATTTTCTTTATTTTTAATAATGAATATCACATTCAATGGAAAAGTAGAAACTTTGACAATTTCTAAGTATACAACAAACTTCCAACTCAGAAAAAATGCCAGAGCAAGTAAAAGTTAAATGAAGAATTACAAAGGCATTTGATAAATGATACAGATAACTTTGAAATTCATTTTCACTGAAATGCAGTTCTACATAGATCAAATTATCAAAAGCAATATTTAACTGCCTCAATCTAATTCATTAGTTTGTTGATAAAGTAGTTTTATTTACAATACCTGATGCATTGGCTTTATTTAAAAATATGCATACATGAACACTTTCACATACTTTGTCCCTGTAAATTTGGAAATTGCTTGTACAGTCTATAATTGATAACACAATCTTTCTCCCATTTTTACAGTTTTACCATCTGTTGCATGCATAAATGATACCTGTATGGGTATTGATTAAAATAAAACAAACATATTAAATAACTAATGTTACTTTATCTTAACACTGATACAGTGACCCGTATGTCAACTATGGTACTAGGTAAAGTTTTCACAATATTGTACATTATTTTCCATATATTTGTTTCAACTTTTTTAAATATTGTAGATGAATAGTGATCATTTGGGCTATATGTTTTTATTATAAATACTGATCTATTCTCTGCCTTTCTCGTTACCTGGAAAGACCTATGCTTTGCAAAACATAAACCCCACTCACAGACATTGACTGAGATGGGTGGCCATAGAAATTAAACAAGCAAAAAAGCAAGCAAGCAAACAAGCGAATGAATGAATGAAAGAAAGAAAGAAAGAAAGAAAGAAAGAAAGAAAGAAAGAAAGAAAGAAAGAAAATGGTTGAATTCATTGGTTAATATTGTGAATGCAATATTGCAGTTATCCCTCATGTTGAATATCCTTTATTTTTCTGGAAGAAGATGAGAGTAAGGTTGATGTGCCCAGCCCTGAACTAGTACCAAAAAGGAAGACTGATAAAGAGAACAATACTGGTAGCTATAGTAACTTCTCATATTTGTAAAAATTGTCTTCATCATGTTGGGATATGACTTCTTAATAGAAAATTTTGATGTAACTTTTAAATCACAAATATCTATTATATATTACGGTAATGAAAATAGTTCTTTGTGATGGATGTTCTTAGGACATCCTTTACTATTCTAGTACACTTTAGATGTACTACATTACAAGTATGTATGGTAACCACAGACAGGAAAAGCATTTATAATTGGGTGAATTAATCAGTATGTCTTGCATGTGATAATGTATTTAAATAAAGCATGTTTTGCAATTACTTCCATGTGATAGTTAGTGATTAATTCTTTTATTCTTTTCAAATAAAAGTTATAACCTTACAAAAATAAAATCCAAACCATAACATTAAATTGACTAATTTCTATAAACAGTTATGTTGAGCCTGACATACAATAACTGAGATCTTATATGGTCTAAGCATTATATCCAGTTCAATAAAGGAACAATATATGTGGGTCTGTAGGTATGTAGATGCGAGTGGGATAAACAGAACTAAGTACCCCTTGAAGCCCATTCATCAGTTTGCTATAGATGTTCTGTTTTTTTCTAGACCCACAATGTTCAAGGAAAACAACAATACATTTTATGTTTTCTACAGCTTCAGATGCATCTTTTAACTATTAATTTCCAAATTTCAAAGTGCTGACGATATTGGTATCTTAGTGTCTCCTAAGCGCAAATTATTAAAAATTATACTTTTCTTCTAAAATATTGTTGGGAATTTCAATTTCAGGGAAACCTTTTTTTTTTAAAAAAAAAAAAGTCTGATCCTTCTGTCTGGAATTCTAGGGATATCCATCTTCAATAAATTTACTTCCATTCCCCCCCCCACCCCCAGCAGTCTCAGCTGTTAGTACATTTGAAAAGTGTATCAGTGTGCAAAATGTATTGGTATGAGCAAAGCACCTTTCATAAAGGAATCAAACAAGCATTAATATTCTGAGGAGGGATTCTTTGCTTGTGCCAACTTGCTTTATGAAGCAGTTCAAGGGCTTTGCACATCACAGCTGCTTGTGGCATTTATTTACAGACTGTAGAAGAGTGAGGCATATATTCACAGTGAAAGAAGAAAAGGGCATTGTTGATTTATTGTTATACATTCTACAAATTCTTGGGCAGCTCAAGGAAATGCACATGGAGTTTTCTTTTGATTCTTAATACCGATTTTGGAATACCCAGAGCTGTGCTAGGATTTTATTTTGAAATAATGACCTGATTGTCAAATAATATACAATAGCTAAGCTAACCAGTATCTCTAACACAGCTTTCTTACTTACTTTGAACAATCACATTACAAATCTATGGAGCACAACTAAATGACTTACCGTATTTTACTTGGCTGTTTTCAGATTTTAAATCTGTCAGTTTCAGGCATGAATGATGACTAAAATTCTGATGCCGGTGCTCAAGAGTTTGAAATATTACAATAGAGTAGTATTATCACTGGGCCAGCCTAATATTGGAGCTAAACTGTATCTGTTGTGGGAGAGATATTGTTCTGTCGCTGAACATCTATTCTTATGCTAATTTTATTCCCTTCCAAACAGCTACATTTTATGGAACTCACAATGCATCTTAAAACATGAAACAACATATATTACTCTGCCTCTCTCATCACAAGCCAATGATCTGGAGTAGTGACAATGCACAATGGTGTATAAAAAATGTAGTAATGACAGAACAAATAGTTTCTTATAGACTGGAAAGTGGCAATAGGATACCCATGGACATCTTGCTAACATAATCCCTGCTCGATCTATTAAAAATGTTAGTTGTAACATTTTTATCAAAATTAAGTAGAAAAAACTGCAAAGGAATATCTTTATTTACAAGGATGTCTCTGAGCCCCACATAGGTTTCATAAACATTCTTAGAAAATAAAATAAAATTGCTGATTGACTCTTGCTCTCAGGTTTATTTGGCAGTGTGAGTATTTGTCTGGGAGACTGATGGGTGAAGTAAGATGGGCATGATTGAGAAACATCCTCACCAGTTTGTTTTCCACAATGGCCACATTGTGACTGGCAGTTGTCTCTTTTGCAGCCATTCCAACATTTCGTATGTCCACTGCCCACCTCACAGGGCTACTTGGGGAAAATAGGAAATGGGAGCATACCGTATTTTTCGGAGTGTAAGACGCACCTTTCCCCCCCCAAAAGAGAGTGAAAATTTAGGTGCGTCTTATACACTGAATGTAGCCCTGCCCACCCACTGGCCCCCATCCTTTGGCCTCTGCCTCCCAGCAGTTACCTCCTTGCAGCGAACAGCAAGAAGAAACAGCTCCTTTCAGCTTCAGCACATCCCAATTAGCACAAGTTAATTAGATCAGCCTCCCGACTCTCAGCTGTTTTGCTCTCAGCTGTTTTGCATGGGCCTCTGCTGCTTGCTGCAAGGAGGTAAATTGCTAGAGCAGATTTTTTTTCCCTTGTGCTAATCAAGCTATGCTGAAAACGAAAATGAAAGTAAAGCAGGCTGTTTGCTGTTTGATGCAACAAGGCAAAATTGTTGGGAGGCAGAGGCAGAGACAGATTTCTTTTTCTTGTTTTCTTCACCAAAAAAGGTAGGTGCATCTTATAGTCTTGTGCATCTTATACTCCAAAAAATACTTTATATGCCAACAATTGGGGAATGCTGTCCATAAGCATTCATTTAATTAATCCAAATAAACATGGGGGGGGGATCAAATAAAAAAATAAGACTTAGAAAAGCAACTGATTGATTACAAAGAGGACTATCTTGTTTGTCCGCCTTCTGCCGCATAGCTCCCAGCGACTGGTAAGATCCCACAGAATTGGTCTTCTCTGGGTCCTGTCAGCTAAAGAATGCTGGCTGGCGGGCCCATGGGGGAGGGCCTTCTCTGTGGCTGCCCCAGCTCTCTGGAACCAGTTACCTCCTGAGGGCCGGACCATCCCCACCCTATTGGCCTTCCGAAAAGCGGTGAAGACCTGGCTTTTCTGGCAGGCCTGGGGCCGTTGATCTCGCTCTTGTGATCTGGCGAGATCCGGCCATGAATGGCGTGAATGAGTTTTTAATGTTTTTAATTTTTAAATGTTTTTTTATAATGAATTTTTAAAATGTATTGTGAGCCTCCCTGAGTCTTCGGAGAGGGGCGGCATATAAATTGAATTAAATTAAATTAAATTGTCTAGTATATTTCAGTACAAAATAATGAAATAATGGCTCCTTTAGGTTGAGCACAACTTCTTAAAATTATGTGGAAATTATTATTTTTTTCATTTTACAACACTGCACAAATAATTTGTCACTGTTGCCT